TAAAAATAGAAAAGAAAGAACAAGGACAACAAATAGAAATAGTAATAAATACGGTAGGTATTACTCCGAGGATATTAGCAATCTCTCTGAATGTAAAACCCACCTATCAAAAGACGGTATAAATGGAGTAAAAAACTCATTACGAATGAAATCACCAATTAACAACTAAGCCAGATTTTAACAGACATCACTCCAAAGAAGACACACAGATGGAAAATAGCATATGAAGAGATGCCCATCTTATTTTTCATTAATTGTGTGCAAATTAAAGTAACAATGCCCTACCACTACCCACCTATTTGAATGACCAAGTGAACACTGACCACATCTAATGATGGCTGGAGTGTGGAGCAGAAGAAACTCTAATTCCTGCTCATGGGAATGACTGAAAAATAGTAAATTTATTTTTCCTGCTTTTTTTTTTTTTTTTTTTTTGTACCTGGGATTGAACTCATGACCTCACACTTGCCAGGCAGGCACTTATACCACTGTGCTAAATCCCCAGCCCATAACTACAAACTATTACAGTCATTTTGGATGAGAGTGATCGTTTTTTACGATACTAAAATATAGACCCATCATTATTTCCACAGTTACATACTATGGCATTTACCCAAAGTAGTTGCAAACATATGTCCACACAAAAACTTGTGCTCCAAAGTTTATATCAGTTTTATTCATATTCAATGTTTATTCCTTATTCATTGCCAAATCTTGGAAGCAACTAAGATGTCCTTTAGCAGACAAATAGATAATGAACTTCTAGACAATGCAAAACTATTCAGTGCTAAAAAGAAATGAGCTGTCAAGGCATAAAAAGACGAGTGAAACCAACCTATTTGAAAGGGCTACATACTGTACATACATACATCATTCACCTATCTGAGAAAAGTCAAAGCTATGGAGGAGGTAAAAGATTATTGGTAGATATGGGTGGGGTGAGAGGTGGGGATGAAGACATGAATTTTGAGAATAGCAGAACTATTCTGTATCACATACTATAATGTAGCATTGTAGAACAACACGCTACAATGGTGGATAGATGACATTTACATTTGTCCAAGTGTGTAGAATGTCTAACACCAAGACAAATGTAAGCTGTGAACTTTGGATAACAGTGATACGAGGGTGTAGGTTTGTCCACTGTGCTAAGTGCACAGTTCTTTTAGGACTTGCTGATCATGAGAGAGGTTATGTCTTTGTGGACGCAGCGAGTATATAGGAAATATCTGTAATTCTCTCTCCATTTTTCTGTGGACCTAAAAATCTTCTTAAAAAATAAAGTTTATTTAAACAAACATGCAAAGAGCTCATTTAGCTTTCCCTGTTCTAGTGAAAATCCAAAACTAGTGATGCTGCTACAGCTAAATCCAAAACGAAACCCGTGTCGAAGTATTGATAATTAAAGACTTGTTTAAAAAAACCTAAAGAAGTTAGAGAGCCAGGCATGGTAGCACATGCTTGTAATCTCAGCAGTAGGGAGGCTGAGGCAGGAGGATCATTACGAGTTCGAGACCAGCCTGGGCTATAAAATGAGTTCAAGGCCAGCCTGAACTGCATAGTGAGACCCTGTATCAAAAAGAGAAAGAAAGAAAGAAAGAAAGAAAGAAAGAAAGAGAGAGAGAGAGAGAGAGAAAGAAAGAGAGAAAGAGAGAGAAAGAAAGAGAGAAAGAGAGAGAAAGAAAGAGAAAAGGGAAGAAAAGAAAGATTAGAAGATGAAAACAAAGTGATTGTGACATATAATATGATGATGATAATTTTAGCAAAATCCTCATCAGAAATAAGGCAAACTGGAAGAAAATAGAATGACATATTTAAAATGCAAAAAGAAAAGCTGTCAAGCTAGATGTCTATTATAACAAAAATATACCTCAAAAATGAAGGTGAACTATGGACATTTGGAGGTCAAGTGTGAGGTCATGAGTTCAATCCCAGGTACAAAAAAAAAAAGCAGGAAAAATAAATTTACTATTTTTTAGTCAAGTAAAAGCTGACAGAATGCATTGCTAGCACTACAAAAATAGCTAAAGGAATTTCATGAGGCTTTACAGAAATGAGACCAATTCTAAGAGAAGAGTTAAAAGAATGAAATTGGTATAGAAAGGTATACATACAAAAGTATATTTCCATATGCTAATTTCTTTGAAAACCATCATGTATCTTAAAGTGAAACAACAATATTGAATTATGGAGCTTATCAAATACATAGTAGTAATATATATGACAGCACAGAAAAGACAGGAGGAGCAGAATAAAGTGATCTATTGAAAATTTCTTCAATATGTAGTATAATATGAATTCAATTTATACTATGCTTAATTACAGATACGTAAAATCTCTGCAGCAACTAAAAGTATTTTTTAAAAACTTGATAATTAAAAAACAACTTGACTAATTTTTTAAAAGGCAAAAATGTGGTATGAAAGGAAAAAAAAAAAAAACCAGAAGGAACCAAAAGAAAATAGTAAGATGATAGACCTAAAATTCAACTATATGTATCACTAATTGCATTAAATATAAACATGTTAAATGCTCCCATTAAATGGAAAAGCTTATAATAATATCTAAAAGAAATAAGATTCAGATATATGCTGTTCACAAGAGACACATTTTAAAACCTAATATAATAAGCCAGCTGCAGTGGTGTGCCTGTAGTTTCTACTATGCAAGGTCCTGAAGCAAAAAGATTGTTTCAGCTCAGGACTTTAGGCCAGCCCGGACAACCTCTTAAAAAGACCAAATAAAGCAAAAACGAAAAGCTAAAATAATGCATGAAAGCAAAAAATTGGGAAAAGAAATAAATACTTGCCATAAGAAATCTTGTAAGTATTCATTAATCTCAAAATACACTTCATGACAAGGAATACTACCAGAAATAAAAAAGAAAAATTAATACTCTTATTTTTATGTTGCTATAATATTAACATTGCTATAGAACCTAATAAAAGGGTCAATTCATAAAGACAATAGAATAACCTTAAACATATATTTTAAGAAACCAAGTAGGAAAGAGCTCAATTAGGGCAACAAACCAAGTTGAAACAAAGCTTTTATTCACATATTACATTGTCAACAATGTAAGGGTTTTGGCCCAGACAGGACACTGTAGCCAGGAAAGCCACAACCGGAAGCAGGAAGCCCCATCTTGCCCTGCCCCTAGGAAGTTACCTGTGACGCCATCTTCCCGCCCTTAGGAAATTTACAAATGGCGCCAAACCTAGGACCAATGGGCTACCTGTGCATCCCTAATGCCCGCCTTAGGTTCCACCCCAAACCGAGGCTATTTACATGCCCCCACAGCATGTGTCCGCTGGAGAGATCCCCGGACTCCAGCTGTGGCGGTGCCGGTCATCTCTCTCCGTGTTCTCAGAATAAAGGCCGCTTTTTATTTTATACTTCTCATCTTTTGGAAATATTTTTCATCTTTTGGAAATAATCCTAGCAAACAAGAGCATAAAGAGATACTATTTCTCTGAGGATTTCTACTCAAAGTGGGTCTGGTAGAAGGGATGGAATTTATGTATGGAATCTCAGTAACTGGATAATCTGACTTCTGCCATTGTCAACAGCAAACCAGCAATAGCAAAACCGAATGTTAAACCTTTGGTAGAGAGCCATCCTCCAGGAGATCAGTAATCCATAAGGTAGGAAGTCAAATACAGGACAACATCCACTCTTCTTCCTCCTCATCAAAGGACCCTCTTGTCTCCTTTGTCGACATGCAAAGATGGAAATCTTTCTGCCTAATGTCTAGATTGAGAGCAGCAAACTTTTGATTGCTTTTTAATCTAACTTTTGATAGCACTGTGTATCACAAAAATGTTCCCAAACATCAAGGCTGAGTTTTTAAATTCATGCCCAGCAACCATCACTCAGAAGGAGGAAGCACATAACTTTCAACCTAATAACAAAGGGGTTATTTTCCTAACTTCAAAAATTCTGAAAACAGCATGTGAATTATAATCAAATTCATCCTTCCTTGAATCATCCTCCAGCTTCAATTGTTTTTACCAACAAGACTCACTAGATACCTAAAACAGTAAGTTTTCAAGCAGTCTTTGAGTTACAAACATCCCCTTTTGGGGTTTGGCAAAGGGATTCCTAGTGTTCTTGCTTTTGAATTCTTAATATATGTTTTTGGGCACTTAAACCAAAACAAAGCAGAACAGCAGGACTCAGTAAAATCTAGAATTTTTTAAAAACTTAATGATGACTGATGAAAATAAGTCTATTTTGCTCATGTGGTTGGGGTAACCTACATTTATATTAAAGTTCTGATTTTTTTTTTCCCCTTGGAATGATTCAGCTAAACACCAGGCAGATTTTCCATTAGGTAACAGAATATCCTTTCCTAAAATAGCTGTTGCCCAGAAGCTAGGATATGGGAAAATGAAGTCAGAGAATTAATAAGATCCTACACAGCACCTTGATCAATTCCAGAGAATATGTCCTGAAGGATGGACCAAGGTCACTTTTGTGATGCCAATCCCTCTTGAAAAGCGTTTGGCAGAACTGGGCCACTAGAGCCCAAGGGAGTGGGCAATTATCTAAAATAATTTAGACACGATGGCACATTTGGACTTCTCAAAGTCACCCACATGAGCAGAAGGGGAATCTAAATGTTTTTCACCTTGTTAGGAATTTATTAAAATATGTCTAGGGCATGTATGCTGGTACTGTGTACTGACTCACTATAAAAAGAAAAAAACTGTTATTACTGAGCAAAGCAGGCTTCTCTACATTAATCACATTATATAAATGCTTAATTTTCTTTCTAATTTGCCCAATAGACACTACTAAGCCTCTGAATGAAATATATCAAAGTGTTCTTATATGCAGAGCAATTAAAATTTTTATCTCTACAATAATTTCCTGAGGAACATGACTTTTCATTTACAAGAGGAAAAATAAACAGAGGCAGATAAGGATGCAAATAAAGCAGAACAAAAAACAAAATAGAATTATCTATATACTTCCGGAAAAGAAAAAGACTTCACAAGTTATTTTAAAAAATCATTTTATTCACCGGGTACATTTGCAAATTTTCTCCAAGTAAGGGAGGTAGAGAAATTAAGACTCACTGAACCTTCTACCCTCAGCCATAATTACAATGAACACACCAAAGAAAAAGACATGTTTTTATAGCAAACCTCCTCCTATGACATTGAGTTTAGATTCTGTGGAAAGAAACAATTCAGCAGAACCAACAGAGATAGGTACATTTTTTTTCAAGTCACACTATAAAAAGTACCAATTAAAGCTTTTTTCTTACCTGCCACATTTTATATGAAAATCTAAAAAAAGAAACAAAAAGCATTGATTTTCCCCATACTTCCCATCCATGGAGTTTGGCCTCAATAGGAAGAAGCAATTTCATATACATTTCAAAGGTGATTTCAACTTAATAGTCTAACCTAAAGTCTTCTCCAGAATTATTACATTTATGGATTGGAAATCAGATTACATCGAATGAGAATGAATATTATTTGAGTTTTATCTTCTTACCTCCAGCCTCTGAAAATTTGCTGGAAAAGCACATATAGGATGATATATAATGTGCAATAATGGAGTTAAAGAGACCAAAGAGAAAGTTCTTTTCCGATGTTTTCTACACCAACTAGACTGTACGCTAACTAGACTTCTAACAATATTCCACACATATCAGTGGAGCTGTATTCACCGGTTCTCTCCCCTTTTCTCTAGTGTCTCTGATCATGAGAGATTCTAGCAGTCATCTGTCACCCTAAATTGTGAGTCCTGTACATTAGGAGGGGAGTGTCTCAGTGATCCACCCATGAGGAAGCCATAATATTGGTGTTTATGAGTGCATGAGAAACTGTGACAGACTGATTTTCTGCTTCTGTGAATGCTGCAACTTGCTGGAGAAACTATTATTCTTAATCTATGAGTCCTCCTATAGCTATTACCTAAGCACCTTCTTACCAGACAGTCATGACACTTCCACAAAGAATATTTACATTATCAGACTTCTCCAAGTCCTATCTACCACTATGCACTTCTAAGGAATAGTCAAGTTTGCTACATGTACGAGAGTTCTTGCTGATGATAAAGGTACAACCCGGATAAGACATGGTTGCATCTGTAAAGTGACACAGGTATATGAAGGAACGACAGAAGGAGATGGGAACAAAGCCAAAGGTAAGGCACCTCTGCCACTCCCACCTTTCTACAATCAACCATCAACCTCTTTTCCATAGGCATAAAGTGTGTGTGTGTGTGTGTGTGTGTGTGTGTGTGTGTGTGTGTCTGTGTACATGCATGCACAAACACGTAAATGTGTCCTCCAGGACTCTAGAACACAGGGGGAAACACATGTAAGCCTGATTACATAATAATGAACACAAGAGCTGATGTACTAGTGTAATGGTGGGGGCAGGAGACTAAAGCGCCCTGCAGTTATGCATACCACACGATAATCTGTTCAAAAGGTCAGGTTCAGCTGGTGTTACAGCTCAGTGGCACATGGCCTGCCTGGCAAATGCGAGGTCGTGAGTTTGATTCCTGGTAGAAAAAAAAAATTAATAAAAAATAAATAGGTTCTTGCTATCATTGTGTCATGACAGTGGATTTGGTAAGAATCTTTGAAACTATGTGCCCAAGTGCCACTAATAGGATATGAAAATGGGGTGCTGACTTCTCAAGGCTCAGCAACAAGGAAAAGGGCAGGAAACGGGGTCCTGAGACTGCCAGGGGCCACACATGGGTAACAGGTGCCTCCCTGTCCTCTCTGTGAGTGTCTCACAATTTGCCTCATACACTGCCCCTCTGGCATCTTTTTATCCTTATTGATAAGGATTGGATTTAAAAAAGGTTCCATTCTTAGGATTTTATTCAAGGACAACAGCTTCTTCCTTTGTCTCAGCTTAGGGACCTCTTCTGAGACCCCTCCAAAGATCTTTTTTAATGGAAACCATGATTTTCTCTTCTGCTACTTTCGTTAAACCTTTTAAAATCACAATTTTGTGGGGATTTAGCTCAGCGGCATAAGCGCCTGCCTTGCAAGCAGGCAGTCGTCACATCCCCAGTACCGATAAAAAGGAAAAAGACAAAAAAAAAAAAAAAAAAAAAAAAAAAATCACAATCTTGTGTATCTCTTGCTGTGCAGAGAAAAACAGTCATTATCTAGTTTCTGATTTTCTCTGTGTTAGGAGCTGTGTGAAACATACATTTAAAAATGACAAGTATCTGAAAAAGTCTAATTACACAAATGCAGGAAAAGACAGAGTCAATATATTTGGGGATTGTTCTATAAAAATCCCAGAGAGCTTTGCATCATTGATTAGATCCCATGGCTTCAACCAAAATGTAAAATTAGTAAGGAGTTTTAGTACAACGTAGAGATCAATAGGAACACAGAGACGGTAAGCAAATAAGTGCCCATAAAATAGAATTTCTCTTTTGTACTTTAAAAAGAGTCCAAGGCTTTTGCTATTACTCAACTGCTCACAGATATTAAAAGTCAATGTATAATATGTTATTTATTCCTTAGGTGTTAAAGGAAATCACAAATGCTGACACCAGATAAAAGGAAATCAAAGAATGTAAGCAAAAATATATATTTATTGCAGTGATGAACAACGTTGTTTGAATAAGCTTTGCATTCATGCATGCGTTTCAATCTGTCACCTCTGAGGTATACATAAAAATGTCAGCAAATGAGCCAGGACTGAGGAGACGACAGTACCCACTTTCTAATAATGGGAAGAAAAATGCCTATAGATTCAAGTCTCCTTCTGTTTTAAAAAACAGCAATTTTACGATGATCAAGCTACATACTGTGGCTTTGCAATTTTAGTTTATAGACACGCATTATGGGCTTCAGAATCCCAGCTAGTTTGTTTCCAGGACTTTCAAAGAGGCTCCATAGGAATGGGTTGAATATGTTACACCTCCCTGGTTTCAAGGACTCAGAATGTCTAACTAGGTAAAAAAAAAAAAAAATTCCACTTTTCATCCTCACTTGGCATGGCTATAATTACGTTTGGATCACCAGACTCTGCCAATGGACACCAAATTTAGAGAACACAACTTGAAGCAAAATAGTTGGAGGCAGTGTAAAAACTTAAACTTCTGAGTGTACGTAGCAGCCCTCTGGTCAGTGTCCATAGCTCAACCTTCAAACCAAGCCAGCTCCTCTGGTAGGGCAGATGCAGGGGGTCCTGGAAGGCCACCAACAAGGGTAAAGATTGCTCAGACCCTCAGTAAGCAGCAGTTTGGAGATGGATTTGTTCTTCCTGTCCACTTGCCTCTCCCTCTCCTGAGCACGCAACCACTGGACTAAGTTTGCAAAAGGACCGGTTATATTCACTGCTGATTTGACTATGTGCGCTGATAGAGACTGCAGGGGCCTTGAAATGGTTAACCCATTTTTCTCTCTGATGTGCAATGTGTGCTCTCACCAAAGCCATATAATCTGCAAGTCAATCTCTATACTGGGAAGACAAAGAAATAAAAAGCACACTAATTACTCTCTGTCCTTATTCCTCAACATGCTTGTCCTCAAGTTTCCACAGACATCTCACAGCTATTGATCTTTGGAATTGTATAAACAAACAGTAGACATTATCTGGGTCTAAGGAGAAAGTATTTGTACAACAAGATAAATGGTTGCTCAAGTTTTCAGTGGACTGGCTTCATTTTTCCAGCTCAGATTCTGAGGGGCATCAAGGCTCCTAATAAAGATTTGTCTGCTAAAAATTTCACAAGGTTGATATTTTCAAACCTAGGAATTAGGAACTATAGGTGGCTGACTTTCCAAAGAAATAGGAGGTTGGGTATAATAGAGTTACAAAACTACCCTAGCTACTAAAAAGAAGTGTTATTGATAGTGTTTCCATTTTGGGTCAGCTACAGCACTCTTATAAAGCTTTCTGACAAATCCAAGAACATTAGTGGCACATTTAGAATCCCAGATTTCTTCAGTTATTTTCCATTTTAAGCCACAATGGCCAAACTGCTACAGGTACAAGTTATATTTAGTCTAAACAAAATGTTAGCCCCCCAAAAAGAAGGGTATGAGACATCACAAAACCAAACAAAGGGTACTGACCAAAAATCTGCCACGCTGGATCATTTATTTCCTAGCTTGGTTCGAACAGCGAAAAAGTAAACTAAACAGTGTCAAACTCTAGTCTGAGCACTTTCCAAGCTTCTTATGTGAGAACTATGCAGTTTAGATGCCCGATTTCACATAAACTTTTGGTTACAAATAGTCTAAAGAAAGCATAGTGTCCAACGAGTCCTCTTTCATAGAAAAAAATCTTTCCTATAAAATGTTACTTTTCTTTCTTATGGACTGATTTAATCCTTCACTTATTGTAATTTTGCTGAGGTGTAATTAAAATTAACAGATTGTCCTTATTTGTGATCTTCAAAATCAATGCAATTCTCAAATTGGTAGGAATAAATCAAAAGTCCTATCAGAATATTCATTTCTATTCTCTCCATCCTTTCCTTTGTACTCATAGAACAATTTAATTTTTGTCACACACACACACACACACAATTTAAAAAAGTAGTCTGATGTAGAGAGAATGTCCTCTCCTGGCAGATGACTGAAAGTGATTCAGTGTTTCTCACTCAATGTATCTACTACAACCCAAAGGTCCTCTGAGCTGAATATTAAAGAGACAGAATATTAAAATGAAATCGAACAAATTTGGAAAGTACCAGACCCAATTCTAAAGGTCCAAATTTCAGATAAACAAAATTAACGAATTCCAGAGTACTCTATAGAATACTTCTCAAGAAGTTCCTACTTAGGAACAAGTATATTTCAGAGGAGAAAGATGCAGAACTTCAGACTACAGACATATTCACAGTTACACACACAAACAGACACAGACATATACCACAGACTTCTCTGGAGAGCACAGAAAAATGGATACGTTTGGCATAACTATGTATTATCGTTATAAAGTAACACCAAACCATAATCTACTCTAAGAAAACAATCACATTAAATTATAGCCATACTTTGTGGTGTGGGCATGTATGTGTACACTTCAGTGAAGATTAATGTAGAATAGTCATCCTTTCATTTTGGTCTAATCTAGGGTTTTTCAACCTTGGTACTACAGACCTCTTAGACTAGGTAATTATTTGCTGAAGGGCCTGATCTATGCATTGTACCTTATTTAGCAGGATCTGTCTATGCAGTCTGCATTAAACTAGAAGCGACCTTAAGTCACGACAGTGAAAAACATCTCAAAACATTGTCAGTGTCATCAGAAAGGGCAAGGGAATTATTGAGAAGCACAGGTCCAATCAAATATAACTGTACTGGCCATTGCTGTTTTTGTATTTCAGAATACAATTTTTAAATGTATAGACTAAACATTGTACAAATCTACTAAATCTACTTCATAAATCTATCCCAGCAATTATACTTCGATGTAAAACCTCCAAATAGCATTTTTAATGGAACTACGACATACAGGCTTTATGAGCTCACTGATTACTTTTAACAATTTTATAAATTAATGCACTAATTTGACTGACAGATGATTCATTTATGTATATGTTTTTGTAGCCCTTTTACACTTTAATGAAGATATTGGTAAAATGTATTCTTTTCTTAAATATCAAATAATAGTTCATTAGAGGAAATACACTCAAAAGAGGGCTGTGCATGAATAAATATTTTACAATGTTCATTTATAATACCTTCCATTACACTTTGGCTGCTATATAAGATCAAAATAGCAACTCAGTTTGCAAAGAGTCACTCTCAAATTCTTAACTTTCCACGTATCAGTATAATGTGTGTTATGCCAGCCAATCACCATTACAAAAGATGATTTCTACATCATCTCAGCATTCATTTAGAAATTCCCCACTCATACAGGGCTTGGTTATCTTGATATCTCATAAATTATTCCACTACAAAAAAAATGTCACAAGTCTTCACCTCTCTGGTATACTACATTTCTACTATCAAAACTGGGGAACATTTCTGTACAGTTTACCAATGCTTTTTAAGACACTTGAGCAAATAATGAATTTTAGTGTCTCCTTGTAGGATAGGATGACCTAACTCACAAAGAGAACGAGAGAGTTCTTTTATTTTTATCTTACATGTAAAAACATTTAGCTGACTATAATCAGTCAACAGCATTTTCCTTCTGTGTGTCAAGTCTGCTGAACCAAGCTGCCTAAGTAGTCCTACCTGATGCTAAAGAAAGAAAGAAAGCATTACTAAAGTAGATTCTTTTACTTGTGTGACCATGCTCCTTCCCAGGCCCATTCATCAGATTTGGTGGGAACCAGAATGAATAAAACATTTCTGCTCATTCTGGATTAAGCATTTGGGGGTCAGCCTCGCATCTCATGCTGGTATGAACATTATGAGCAGCAATCACTAAGCTGATTTGTCCTATATTAACATGTAAGGTATACTACATAATGCACAGCAGCTGCCCGACACAGATTATAGAGTTTTGCTATATAGCAGGTCATCTGGGTTCAGCTTTCATGGATACACGAGAAGGAGCTTTATTTATTTACCTTTGTATAATGTGTGTGTACACGTCTATATGCATCTGTGTGCACAGGATTTATCTTGGTGTGAGTGCCACCTTACATGGAAAAATAATTTGCCTTTTGGTCTGTCTTCTGCAGAGACTCGGCCTTGTCTCATTGTGCTTTACTTCATCTCTGAGCATTGAAGTTTTGAAGACAATTATGCTCATTTACAAATCAATAATGCACTTACATTTGTAGTCTTTCTGCACTAAAATAATAATAACACTGCAAACAGATTTCCATAATGCAGACCTAAAATTGAGTTTATACCCTAATGCTGAGGAGGAAAAGTGGCTCATGTTACCCAGACAATGAATCAACACAGTCTAAATTCAACACTGCTTCACATCATCCAAGCAGACTTGACAGAAAAGGGAGAAGCCATTCTTACTTAAAATTTTAGAAACACAGGGGAGCTACAGTTAACACAGATTTGGTTCAACAAATCACAATGATCAGCTGTATTGTTTTGTATCCTTATTATTCAATAAGGGCTTTAAAAAAATCTACCCCATCACCCACCCTCTGCCCCTAAATAGGGCAAAAATAAATAATAATTTTTAAAACTACAGTCCTAATACCAGTCTTAATAAGAGTTCTTTTTGAATTATCATTAGGCCAATTTGTGTTGATAATTGGCAACACTCTTTTTGCCCTGGCATTTTCTATATTGTATCTTGTTTAGATCGTCAGTCTCAACAGCTAGCGTTCATCTTGTTTTTCAATTGCATCTTCTAGATTTGAATCCTACAAATGTGCTTTGCCAGCATCCTCATGGGGATCTCCTAGTCACAAATCCACCATGTGCTACAAACTGTTTCACAGAACGTTTCACTTCTTATTTGTTTTCCAAGCCAACATTAAAAGTAACGTTCTGCTTGAGTTTCTCTTGTTCCTTTCTCATCTGTCCAAGTGGCACATATGGACCCAACCTAATCGTTGCCCTTTGCGAAACAAATACCCTGGCTCAGTCCTCCCTTCTTCCACTGTCCCTAGGAAGTGGACTGGAGGGCAGGCTCCTCGCATGGATCTAGCTGCATTCTCAATGCACCAATTTTATGAAGGTACCAGAGCTGGAGAAACTCCTCTGGCATGGCGTGGAAGCCAGAAAAGGGCAGGACATTATCGTAGTAGTGATGACTGATGGGCTGCTCACGCATGTTCACGGAGAAGGGCCAGAAGCCATAAATGGCTACCTCTTCGCAGAGGCCCAGGGCTGCACTCACTAGGAAGAGTCCTGTGGACAGGCGCTTGGCATGGATTCCCCTACTTTTCCAGAACTTTCCAATGCTACGCAGAAAGTTGGGGTTGGCAAAAAGCACTGTTTGATTGGCACCAACATCTGACAGTGTATAATAAACCCGGAGGGATGGCTCTGTTCCCGTCTTCATAGAAAAGGCGGGCATGTAGATGTAACTGTGGTTGTAGATTTTCATGTTGTCCACGAATGTCTTTCTGGACCAGAGGAGATTCTGAAACCTATTAGAGAGAAGAGGCTCAAGTAAATCTCAAGGAAAGAAAATCATTAAAATCCATCCTATTGCTTCTGATGGCAAATCTTCTCAGCAAAGTACTTCACTGATATTTAAGATCTTCTGTGTTTTATTACTCCCACAGTTCTTATTACTTTTTTTTGAAGAGAGTAAAACCAAATGTGACGGAACAGAGTCAGTCAAATCAAAAGGATGGACATATTACATAATGTAAAAACAGAAAGAAGGTGATCAGCAATGGTTACCATAATGCCTCTTGCTATTAAGATCTTCTGTGAACTTACCAATTATTCGGGCTTTCTTATACCCCAGTGCCTTAAACTCAAGTTTAACATTCCTGAATAGAGTTTTTCTGAGCAAAAACATTCTATGCACTCCATTGTTTCCCCAAATGTTTTTGGGCTGGAGTGTAAAATGCTTTAGTACTCCCGAATTCATACAAAGTGTTGGCTGGGGTCTTTGTCAAACCTCTCTGTGTGGTCTGATACAAGTGTAGGGCTCATTTCCTGATGTGCAAATCAAAGCACTGACTTCAGCAAGTCCGAGCCCCACCAAAACAGGTACTCAGGTCAACTGACGCTGTTCTAACTATAATAATATATGGAAAAACAAAGACTTGTTACTGTTATAATACAAAGAGCTGCCCACCTTGCTTTCTCCAAAGCATTCTCCTTTTCCATTTGGATAAATGAAGACAGGACCTCTGATTCAAACGTATTCAACTAAAACTTATGGTATAACCCCCATGTGTCAGACATGGGGGAAATATATCATTAGTGACCCAATTTTTCCATCTCAAAAAATTCAAGTCCAGTTGTGGAAACAAACAATATAAGCAAGTATAATGTGCTACTGCAAATTGATATTTATATAAAATACTGTAGAATGAAGATGAAAAATTCTGCCTTGGAAGGGAGAGTAGATTCTGTGAAAACTGCAGAGAGGGATGGTGTTTAATGACCTCTCCTTAGGAAAACAACAGGAAAAGCAGCAACTATGCTGTATAGCATGGTTTGGTCAGAGACAAGAGTGTATTAGTGTCCTGCAGCCACTGTCACTGGAATATTGGAGACAGAGATGGTGAGGACCGTGTTTAAAGGAAAGGCATGTTGCAAAAACATTTCATGTCCCTCTAATTTGTTCAGATCCAAGATAACATTGAGCCTTTATAGCAGTGTCTATCACAACACTTACTACAGTTGTCAGATTGTATTCCCCCCCACAAAAAAAAACCCAAAAAACCTATTGAAGATAATCTTGGGAAGACAGTGCACAAGGTAGAGACCAGATAAGATGCACTTGAGATAGCTCAAGGGAAAAGAGGAAAGAAAATAAGAAAAAGTACAAGAAAGGGCAGTGAGCTAGACTAGGGTCTTGTGACTCTGGATTTCTTCTGGGAAGGAAAAACTGCTCATCTAAGATGACCTGCAGGTGAAGCTGCAGCATCTACAGACAGAAGAACTACGCCATAAATCTCTGCGTGACATGTTGGCAGGCTCACCATAAATATGTGCAATTAAAATTCGGAATACACAAATCCACAGGATGGCATGTTCACGCAGTGTTATTTACTCTGTTTGCCAAGAAAGAAAGGTCCATTTCTTACACCTACAAGGAAGGGAAATATTTCAATTTTTCTTTAAATCTTTGCTTTGGCAATTTCCGCAGGGCCTGGACGAGAAGAGACAACACAGTCTTTTGGTAGAATCCCTTTACCCTAGAAGAAGCCCAGAAGCACCTTCAACTGTACTCGGTGTGTGCTAACTTCTGTAACACGTTTTCCTGCTTCCCGACTTCAAGGGGGATTGCTCAGCAGTTCTCTTATTTCTTTCATTGACCATCCATTTGTTCTGCTCCCTTCCTAAATACACGAGGTTCAACCCCCAATCATAAGAAACATCAAAAACAGCACCAATGGTTTCCCAATCACACTGACAAACCATTTAGAGAAACTCCTACTGCACTGAACCATGGTTTTCTCGCTTTAGTTAGAATAAGCTCCAGGGTTTACCAGTATCTCCTTTCCTGGATTAGGATCAGAGTGGTCCAGGCAGGTAATTTTTATCCCAATCCCCATGGAAGAACAAAACATCGGTGTAGGTCATCTAACCTTCTGCATTAACACCTCTTTCTTGGTATCAGTTTTATCCCTGCTGTCATTTGAAGAGGCAAAGAAGTTCCCTCTTTCCTTGTGAGTCTTGGGACAAGCTGTCTCACATTTCCTGAAGGATCTGTGGTTTAACATGAGTTTTCCTTCTTTAACATCCATTTTCTCCATCTCTATCAGAATTGTTCTCTCTTGTCTTCTAATCATAGTTAAGAACTCCCCCCTAGCTTTAATAAAGCATATTTGAGAATTTAAATATATACATATTTACCCAGGTGTGGTGATGTACACTGGTAATCTCAATACTATGGGAGGCTGACACAGGAATATCACAAGTTCAAGCCCAGTCTCAGCTGCTTACTGAATTAGCAAGAGCTTTTCTCAAAAAATTACAAAAAGGCTGGGGATGTAACGCCATGCAAAGGCCCTGGGTTTAATTCCTGGTACCATAAAGCAACAACAAAAATGCGTAATTTCAGGTGTGCAATATTTGATATAATGTATGTTAAAATGATCACCAAATCAGGTTAGAGCCTAAGAAAATTCTCGATTATGCTCATACTGCTCTAGAACTACATTCTGCTTCTATCATTTCACATCAACATTCACGAAGGAAGCTAGAATACTTTTCCTGTTGTCTTTCTTGCTTGGATCCTCCCCTTACTACAGTGGAATGGCTCCCAATTCCCAGGGCTTTGCTGGCTGTTGGAACTGGTAATCTGTGTCACTGTGGTGAACTTCACACTAGGGAGAATTATAGGGAGCTTCAGTAAAATCAGAACAATTGACACTGATCTTGTTCCCTTTTGTGGGGTACTGGGGGTTGAACAAGGGGCCTCTCAGTGAGCTCCATCCCCATGCCTTCTTATTTTTTATTTTGAGACAAGGTCCCACTGAGTCACTAATTTGCCCAGGCTGAGCCCAAACTCACAATCCTCCAGCATCAGCCTCCTGGAGTATCTGGGATTACAGGCACTCACCACCATGCTCAACACTGCTTCCTATCTTAAAGCTGACTGACAGTTCTCAAAAGGGGTCATCTTTTGACTCTGAGTTTTAACTTTAAAAATGGACATCATGTACATATCAGTATTTTTACTGTCTTGTTCTTCAACAAATGACATTATTTAAAAAATTGATTCCACTCAATAATGATGATTTTATCTAATATAATTATTTTCCTGATGAAGAGTTTAATAGAGTTGGTTTTCAACTTTATTAAATTATAAAATTTCATTAGAATTGTTAAAACAGTGCTCTCTCTACTTTCCATGCCCTCATCCTACGCATCAGCCATCCCTGGATGTGGCCTCTGTACACTGTTTTTTGTATTTTTCATATATAGAGTCCTTATTGATCATCTGTTTATTGCTATGGTGAAATTCTGCCTCTAAATTAAAATCTAAATTAAACTTTTTCTTCTTAAGCTTACTCTGTTCTTCTGAAATAAGCTTTAAAGATTCTTCTTTAACTTATCAAACTGAATTGATCATATCCTTCAACACTGTGTGCTCCCTGAAGAAAAGAGACAAAGACTTCTTCATCCTTTGATATTTATAACCAGCTCAAAAGAGCTGTAAAACACATAAATGAAAAACTAATAATAAAAACTGAAAAAGAAGAAAAATGAAACCAGATCAGTCTACAAATGAATAAGAAAAATAAAATCAGACAGCTCATAAATTAAAAAGAAAAATGAATTAGGTTAGTCTATGATGTTAAAGTAAGAATAATTAATAAATACAAATATGGGCATGAAGAAAAAATATGAAAAACTTAAAAATTTGAGTACAAATCACAAAAATGTAGGGCATTTTACAAATAAATTTAATGTGTGATGGGGACATAAAACCAATGAAGTTTAAAATATTATTTAATAAAAATATTGAGATAGCTACCTACCAATTTTGAAATGTTTGGGAATAATACATTTACAGATGAGAAGAAAATGACAAAATAATTTCAAGATAAGTAACTCATAAACTACATTATGAGAAAAACTAAGGAAAACAATTGTGGACTTAGACATTTATAAAATAGCTTTCAAGAGAAGAAATTAGTGACAAAATTAACTATGTTAAGATGTGAAATAGCTAAAATAAAAAGGAAATTACTCTAAAAATATTTACATCAAATATGACAAATAAAAGGTTAATTTTTGTCACGGTTTATGTCTGTGTCCCTCAGGCCTCATGAGTTTGCATTGTGCATTTGTGATTGGTTCATTGTCTAGTGCTTGGATTGATGGTGTCAGTGCTCCACCCACACAGGGGTGGAGCCAGGATGTGATGTAATGGCAGGAAGAAGGTGTGACTTGCTCTTTGCTGGTCCCTTTTTACTGTTTGCAGCCGCCATGAACTGTGGCCCAGCCATGCCCGCCTGTCTTGGAGCCAACTGAGTGTGGACTAAAACCTCCAAAAATTGCAAGAAATAAACCTTTCCTTTCCCAACTTTGGGCTTCAGGTATTTTGTCTCAGCGATGAGTAAAAAGTAACTAAGACAATTCTGATAAGCTTATACACTAAATGTATTGACACACTGATATGAAAATTACCAAAAGATAATTTAAAAGGAGTTTTACTTAAAAATACCAGTTGATAATCAGGATGCAAACTGCAGAGAATAATGAGAAGCTGAAGGACCATTTCTCTCCTGCTACAAGGCCCCAGAAATCAGAAAGAAAAAGTACTTTTAAAAAGCTATATCCATTTTGACAAAAAGAAGAGAAAGCAAACCTTCATTGAGTCCCAGATCTGGGTTACTCCTACAAAACAGCCTTTAGGAAACCTGCCTTGTTGAGCAGCGCTCTGAGAGGTAGAAGAATCCTGTATCTAGAGGCAGGCGATACTAGAGAATATGTTTGTTTTGGATAATAAGAA